AAGAGACATATGAAGAAATGCTCAACATCACTAATCATCAGAGAGATGCAAATTAAAATAACGATGAGATATCACCTCACACCTGTCAGAATGGCCGCCATCAACAAATCATCAAACAACAAGTGTTGGCGAGGGTGTGGAGAAAAGGGGACTCTAGTACACTGCTGGTGGGAATGCAGACTGGTGCAGCCGCTATGGAAAACAATATGGTGCTACCTCCAAAAATTAAAAATTGAACTTCCATTTGACCCAGTGATCCCACTCCTGGGAATATACCCTAAGAAGCCTGAAACACCAATCAGGAAGAATATATGTACCCCCATGTTCATAGCAGCACTATTTACAATAGCTAAGATCTGGAAACAGCCCAAGTGTCCACCAGTAGACGAATGGATAAAAAAGCTGTGGTACATATACACCATGGAGTACTATGCAGCTGTAAGAAAGAAAGATCTCTTATCCTTTGAGACGACATGGAGGGACCTGGAAAGTATTATCCTAAGTGAAAGAAGCCAAGCAGAAAAAGACAAATACCACATGATCTCACTTATATACGGAATATAATGAACATAACAGTCTGAGGAATACAGTAGACCCAGACACATGGAAGTAGGGCACAGACTGACATCCCTCAGAAGAGGGGATGGGGGGTGGGGGGGTGGGAAGAGATAAACCACAGAACTTATATGCATGTATGCATGACCAATGGACATGGACAACTAAGCCGGGGACAGGGTGGAGGGGGGGTGGGGTGGGGGGTGCCAATGGGGTAAAAAGGTAAAATATCTGTAACAAAAAAATAAATAAAAATTCATTAAAAAAAAAAAAAAGAAACCTCTACAACTAAAAAGCAATACTGAGAAATGAAACAGAATGTCTAAGAAGTGTGGAAGTATTTCAAAAAGAGTAACATACTGATAATGGACTACCAGAAGAGAAAGAAAAGAAGCAAGAGAAATATTTGAAATAATAATAATTGATAATTTCCTTAAATTAATTTCACACAACAAACCACAGATTCAGGAGGCTCAGAGAACACAATACAAGATAAATGCTCCCAAAACTACACCTAGTCATATCATATTAAAATGGCAGAAAATAGAAGAAAAAAAATTAAAGAAGCCAGCAAAAAATAATACCTTGCCTACATAGGAGCAAAGATAAGAATGACATCTGACTTCTCAGAAACCATGCAAGTAAGAAAACAATGAAATGAAATATTTAAAGTGTTGAGAGAAAAAACTCACAAACCTAGAATTTTGTATCCTGCAAAATTATCCTTCAAAGGTGAAGGAGAAATAACAAATTTTTCAAAGAAACAAAAATTGAGAAACTGTGTTGCCAGTAAACCTGCTTTGCAAGAAATGCTATAATTCTTAAGAGGGAAAAAAAAAATTGTATAAATCAGAAACTAAATAAATAAATAAAGCAAAGGCATTAGAAAAGAAGTAATGCCCTGGCCAGTTTGGCTCAGCGGTTAGAGCGTCGGCCTGTGGTCCGGAGAGTCCCGGGTTCGGTTCCCGCTAAGGGCACGTACTTCGGTTGCAGTTTGTCCCCGGCCCTGGTTGGTCATGCGGGTGGCAGCCACTCGATGTGTCCCTTCACGTCGATGTTTCTCTCTCTCTCTCCTTCCTCTCTCTCCCTCCCACTCTATCTGTACAAAAAATGGAAAAATATCCTCGGGTGAGGATAAAAAAAAGAAAAGAAAAGAAGTAATAGTAAAATAAAACTTGGATTTTTCTTATTCTTAATTGATTTAACATAACAATTTGTTCAAAGTAATAGGAGCTACAGTGTATTAAATAATCATAGCATATATAAGTGAAATGAATGATAGGAATATTACAAGGCCCAGGAGGAAAGAATTAGAAGTTTTTGTTATTATACTTACTTGAACTATTCATGAGATTATATAGTGTTTTTTGAAAGTGGACTTGGGTTAGTTGGAAATAAGTGTCTATTGAAACTCTCAGACAACACTAAAAAAGGTACAAAAGGATGTAAATTGATATGCTAAAAATGAAAGAAAACAGAATCATATAAAATGCTCAAATAAAACCACAATGGGCAGAAAAGAAATGGAAAACAACGGGAGCAAAGAACAGGGCAACAAATAGAACAGTAACAAATATGGCAGATATTAATCCAACTATATTAATAATCACTTTAAACATCAATACCTACATATACCAGTTAAAAGACAAAGACAGGCAGACTGCACCATAAAATAAGACCCAATGATACGCTGTGTAGAAGAAATACACTTTAAATATAAAGATACATCGCCCTGGTTTGTTTGGTTCAGCGGTTAGAGCATCAGCCTGCAGTCCGGAGAGACCCGGGTTCGGTTCCCACTAAGGGCACGTACCCTGATTGCAGTTTGTCCCCGGCCCTGGTTGGGTTGTGCGGGTGGCAGCCACTTGATGTGTCCCTTTCATGTCGATGTTTCTCTCTCTCTCGCTCTCGCTCTTGCTCTTCCTCTCTCTCCCTCCCACTCTATCTGAACAAAAAATGGGAAAGTGTTTTCGGGTGAGGATAAAAAATAAATAATTATAAAGATACATATAGATTAAAAGTAAAAGGATAGAGAACAATGTAACATGCTAACACTTATCAGGATAACATTATAGTAGCTTAGTAATTCAGACAGAGCAGACTTCAGAGCAAGGAAATTTATTAGGGATAAAGGGAACTTTACATAATAACCAAAGTTCAAATCCTATTATTCCTTTCTAACACTCTTACTAAAACACTTCATGGTCCCATATGTGTGTATGCTCTACTTCGTTGCAACTGCTATTAAAATCCAAATTGTTCGCCCAGCTGGTCAGTGGCTGACCATCAACCCATGCACCAAGAGGTCGCCAGTTTGATCCCAGTCAGGGCAAATGCCCAGATTGTGTGCCAAATCCCCAGTAGGGAGCATGCAGGAGGCTGCCAATTGATGTTATCGCTCTCCCTTTCCCTTTCTCTCTCTCTAAAATTAATAAAGAAAAATAATTTTTTTTAATCCAAATTGTTCAACAAGCGTGTTGCTGGTGGTATTTGGCCGAAGTACACTGACATCTTCTACAGTTATTAATTGAAGTTCTGTTATGAAGAGCTCTTCCTTCTCCCCTTTTGTTTATTCTTATTCATTCATTTGTTTTATTTATATGGACACATGGAAACATGGAGATTTGTTTCATTATTTGGGCTATAATCCATTACTATATTTATCATTTTGCTAAATATATTGCAGCTTGGGTCACTGGGAAGTCTTTTGGGATAGCTGTGCCCTTTTTCCCCCTAGTAATACGTTTACTCTTTTTAGAGCAGTTTTAGTTCATAGTGAAATTGAGCAGAAAGAGCTGGGTGTTCCTATATATTGTCTGTGCCCCAACTCCTATATCATTCCCTACTATGAACATCCTGCTCTAGGGTATACATTTGTTACACTAAATGAACCTACATTGATATATCATTATCACCCAAATGTATCAGGGCCCACCGAATAGGGGCTTATGTTACAAATCTAAACCTAAATCGGCCTGAATTTATGGGAATACATCTCAGTGTTAAGGAACCTAACACACGGCAGTCACAGTACTCTGACTCAGCTTTTGCCGGCTTACTTGACCCTAGAAAACAGGGCCTGCCTTAGGAGGAAATCTCTGATCTAGCCACGCATGTCCTGTTTCCAGGTTGCCTCTTCAAGAGCTCTATAAAATCTGCTCTTGCCCAAAATCTCTCTGAAGAGTGATGCTGCTTGTTAGGCGCTCTGCCTCCCTATTCCATGATGGTTTTCCCTTGAATAAAGGACATCAAACGCGTTACTAGATTGTTTTAGGTTTGGCATTTGACTCATATATCTTTACTTCTCTTAGCGGCTCTGAGATAAAAGGCACAGTTTGAACAGTCCCAAAATTTCCCTTCATAAACTTTACATTACAAAAATTTCCAAACACACACAAAAGTAAAAAAAACAGCAAAATGAGAATACGAATATTCTAGAGGTAGAACTTAACATTTTGCTGTATTTGTCTTTCTAGTTACTTAATTACAAATAAATAATACAATACTAAATACTTTAATATGCATCTCGGAAAAAAAGTAAACTTGCCTACATAATCCCAATGTTATTATCAGAATTAACAAAAGTAACGATAACTTCCATTACTACCAGTCCACAGATCTCCACATTCGTTCCCAAATGTTTCAGGCGTGTTTGTGGGAAATGTAGTCTTGAATGGCATGGGCGTCGCGCGGCATTCTGGGAAGGGATGGCCCGAACTTCTCTCTGCGCCTGCGCGGCCGCCGCACGTTCCTGCCCGCGGCCTCTCCCGCCTCGCCAGTGCTGAGGGCTCGCACCTCAGGTGAGATCCTCGGGTGTCCGCGCCTCCGCGCGCCTGGCCGGCCCTCACCCAGGTCTGGGCTTGTGTCTAGGGGAAGGAAATAGGAGGTTCCGGGGTCCAACCCCGAAAGCGGGGCTGCCGCCGCCGAGCCTGGAGCCAGGCCTGGACGCAGAGCTGGGCACGGCGGGTGGGGCGCGCCCCTGCCCGCGGTCTCCGGTCTCCGTGGGCGCAGGTGGGGTGAGTCCTGGGCCCGGGATGCTGGGTGCGCGGGAGAGGGCGCCGCCGCTGCGGGCCTGGTGCACACCGCCTGGCGGGCGGGGGCGGGACGCGCTTCACAAGCCGACCGTGAACCTGACGCGCAGCGCGCGGGCCCTGGGTCTGCAGAGGTTGTTAGGAGCCAGAGGACCCGGTCAGTTCCGCCTCTGTCACTTGGGCATGGGTCAGGTTTGTCTTTTTTTTTTAATTATATAAAAACTGCTTTGTGGTGGTGTTCAGAGAGAAAAGCCAAAACTTAGAAAGCATTTATTTAACCAACTGCTAGTTAATGAGCTCTAATAAATACTAGTTATGATGGTCGGCTGCCATCCTACTTGGAAGGCAGCTTTGTTCTTTTCATTTAGTATTTCATTTCATTCTCACAGCCCCTCTATTTATAGGTATAACCACATCATTAAAAAATATGAAAATGGGCTCAGAGGAGTAAACTTTACACACCGAAGGTCACAAGGTGAGGAAGCTAGGATGCAAATACAGATGTGCTTGACTCCCAAATCAGACTTTGTAAACCCTGCCTACCTACAGGCCCCTGCTGCCGCTCTCAGGGCACTAGCCAGGGACTTGTGCCCAACCCCAGGACTGTGATTGTAAAGCCAGTGCAAGCCGAATGCCCCTCTGTGACAAGTGTCTGTATTCTGGCATTTCTGGCATCGCTCCCAAGCCTCTGGGTAAGGCTCCTGGCACCTCCTGCACTTGTGTCCGTCTTCAGAGGCACATTCTTGGTCTAGTGCAATAGAAAAATAAAGTGAGCCTCATGTACAATTTAAAATGCTCTAGTAGCCACATTAAAAACTAAAAAGAAATATGTGAAATTGATTTTAAAAACATACAGCAGGGCCTAGAATAATGACATTTCATTCAACAGCATTTTCTAATAACGTTGATGGGGGGGGGTATTCCTGGCTACACCACTGTTTATGTGGAGTTTGCATTTTCTCCCCACGTGTACATGGGTTTCCTCCAGGAACACCCATTTCCTCCTACATCCCAAAGATGTGCTCGTCAGGTTAATTGACGTATTTTCATCGTCCCAGTGTGAGTGAGTGTGAGTGTGTGTGTGCCCTGCAGTGGAAGGGCATCCTCTCCAGGGTGAGGTCCTGCCTTGCACCCTGAGCTGCTGAGGAGGCTGTGGACACCCTAAACCAGAATAGGCGGGTTAGAAGATCATTATAATACTTGTTTTTATTATTCTTTTTTAAACACATGTATAGCTCACATTTATTTCAATGTTTAGTATTGGAAGTGTTGTTTGGTCTTTATTTAGAAGTTTGATGATGTTTTTATAACCAGAAATATGCCATAGGTACTTAACTCTTGTTTATATCAATTCACTTATGATAAATTGGTTGTTATATGCCATTTCATTTAAAGCTGCTGTTTCCAAGAAGCTATTGATGATTTTAAGTGAGGACTTACTGTATTGTGTTTATCTTAATATGTACAAAATATGTACAAAATTCAACATGTGGCAGTAGCCACATTTCAAGTGCTCAACAGTAGGATTTGGCTAATGTCTACAGTAATGGATAAAACACTGAATCCCGCCCTGGCCGGTTTGGCTCAGCGGTTAGAGCGTCGGCCTGCAGTCCAGAGAGACCGGGGTTCGGTTCCCGCTAAGGGCACGTACCTCGGTTGTACTTTGTCCCCGGCCCTGGTTGGTCGTGCGGGTGGCAGCCACTCGATGTGTCCCTTCACATTGATGTTTCTCTCTCTCCCTCTCTCTCTCCCTCTCCCTCTCCCTCTCCCTCTCCCTCTCCCTCTCCCTCTCCCTCTCCCTCCCTCCCACTCTCTCTGAACAAAAAAAAATGGAAAAAAAATGTCCTCTAGTGAGGATTTAAAAAAAACACTGAATCCCAAGAGGATCAGGTTTAACTGCATCATATACACGAGTGGTTCCCAACTAGGGTGATTTTGCTCCCCAGAGGACTTTGGAAATGTCTAGAGATGTTTTTGGTTGTTACAGCTGGGGAGAGGCTTGCCACTGAAGTGCTGCTAGACATCCTATAATGCACAGGACAGCCCCCCTGATAAGAAGTTATCCAGCCCAAATTGTCAGCTTTGTTGAAATTCGGAAACACTGCTCTCTGTGAAAGTTTCAACTAAAAAAATTTGTTTCCTAGGCCTAAGTCTCAATGTCTCTGGAACAAAGTGGCTCTTGTGTGGCAAGACGGAGAGAGCCCTAGGGACAGGAGTCCTACCTGGAAGAACAGCCCCTCTGACAAGGACCACCCTCTCCAGAGCTTCAGAGCTGATGCAGGAGAACCCAGAGAGGGGTGGATTCTGATCCGCCCCACCAGAAGCAGTTCTTAATCCCTCGTCCAGAGAGAGCCCAACTTGGTGATGTCGCCACATCCAGAGGCCCTCACAGACTGTGTGACACTGGAAACTGGGGACCAGCTTGCAGAAGGTGGGAAGCTGGGATTGAGAGGGATGGGTGACTGTCAGGCTGCTCAGGAAAAGCCACAGCCAAGGAAATTCTGTCTTCTCCTTCTTAAATAGCCCTCCGTTTTCTTCCTTCTTCCTTCTTTCCAGATTCTGAGCCATTCTCGTATCATGCCCATCACATGTGGCATCTAGAAATATGCTGAAGCCTCCTTTATCCTGAACATGTAGAATCACAAAATGGTAGTATAGAAAGGGATTTCTATTTCCAACTCTTGAAACCTTAAAAATATCAAATCTGAGATGTATGTTCCCTGGCTACCCAGGACAGAACTAGGAACAAAGCACAGTGCTATTCATTCTGTCACAGGTCAGTCACTAGAAGTGTCTTATCAAAAGCAAGACTTTGGGGGGTTGGGGTAGATGAGGGTAAATGGAAGATAAATGATGATAGAGGGAGACTTGACTTTGGGTAGTAAACATACAATACAATATACAAATGATGTATTCTAGAATTATACACCTCAAGCCTACATAATTTTATTAACTAATGTCACCCCAATAAATTCAATAAATATTTTTTTTAATTAAAAAAAAGAACACATTCAAAAGAAAGAAGTAAATTTGACTCAAGAATTTTAGCCATCAAGGGGAGAATAGAAAAGGAAACTTAGCTGGGGGGAGAAAATAGTCTTTTTGAGAAACTGCAACAAATTAGAATAAAAGGATTTAAATTTTTTCATTAGTAAGCATCTTATTCTTTTTAGTTTTCTGTTGATTTTCTAACTCAGTGTAAATAATAACAATATAATTAATATTAAATATAATAATATTAATCCTCTGTTTTGATCTTTTTGTTAATTAGTCAGAGGGGACATACTTTTTTTAAATCAATAGTAAAATAATTTACAATCACCCAACAAAAAATAGTAAGGTTATACCTACATGATCATATCAGAGATATGTATATATCAGAATATGTGCATATTCGGGGAGTGCTGGCTCTGTGTGTTGCTTCCTGCCCCTTCTCAAGGGTCAGTGGATCGTTTTTCTGTAGGGAGGCCTTTTCCCCAGCTGGTGTGATGGGATTTTTAGGCAAGTGAATACAGAAGTTCACCAGACCTCTCATGACTTCATTCCTCTTTCCTTACCTCAGCTTATCCTTCACAGTTCTCTACACTTTCCCAAGAGCAGCAGAAAATGAACATACCTCGGGTGAGTTATTTATTAACTCCTTTTTTATAATGGGTTTTATCGGTGGTTAAGGAACTGTACATTGACATGGAAAAAGAGAACTAGAAAGATGCTGACATCGTTCAAGGAGGATAGAGCAAAGCAGATGAATAGCACAGCAGAGATGTCCTGTAGGGAGACGCAGGTCCTCATGTTACGGCTTTTCCAAAGTGCTGCTGCAAATCTCTTCCTAACTTTTCTGATAGGCGTGTCAGAGTCAGGCAGACAATATTAATTTAAAGATTTGTAATAATGACGTGCTTAAGCCAAACATTCCTCAAGGAACTTAAAATCCTCAAGTCAGGCAAAAATGTCTTTGTTGGTTTTCCTGTAGGTGATAGTGCAAATCTCTCTAATAATAACCCTGAACTAAATGCAGGATGTTTTCACTTTTTCCTCAGTAGAAGTAGAGGACATATTGCCAAGCAAGGCTTTTGTTCATACAGTTGTTCAGGTCACTAAACCAGAACTTGAGGGAGATATTTTCCTGATCATCCTGTTGAATTTGGGAATAATACTCAGACTGGGTGGAGGTCAGCATGAATGATCTGTATATTCACGTTCTTAAAACTGTCTCTCCCTAAACATTTCTCTCAAGTACCTGTCATAAACAGGTTGTTCGGGCAGTTTAAAGTTCTATTCTCTGGCCCGGCCAGAGTGTGGCTCAGTGGATTGAGCATTGCCTCAGTGGACTGAGAGGTTCCGGTTCAATTCTCTGTCAGGGCACATCCATCCCCAGTAGGGGGCATGCAGGAGGCAGCTGATTGAAGTATCTCTCTCACATTGATATTTCCATCTCTTTCTCCCTTTCTCTCTCTCTAAAACAGTAAAATATATATATATATATTTTTAAAGTACTAGTTTCTGACAAATGTCACCACACTTTTCATTCACATCTCAGTCCACTGCCTGAGGCCTTGATGTCTCTCCTCATATACCTGTGATCTGCATGTACCACTGACCTCATTACAGTCAAATCCAGTGGGCCCTGCCTAGCTGGTCCTTACCTCATGAGCCCTGCGTGCCGTGCCTGTCTGTCCCTCCCGGAAGAACTCTTGTGTTGGTGTCTGTGACACCCTCCTCTGCTGCCGTCCTGCCTCGTTCCCTTCATGGAGTCATGTCCTTCTCTTGTCACAGGTCTCATCCACAAGTTTCCATTCCTTCTCACTACTCTTCCAGCTAGTCTTCTTGACTCATTCTATCCCCTCTCTGGTTTTAACAATGATGTATTTGCTAGTTCTCCCAAGTGTGGCTCCGCAGCCCACCCTGATCCATTGCACTTTTTGTGATGTTGGAAGTGAGCTTCACCTGTCCTGCCCCAAGTGGTGGCCAACAGCCACCTGTGCTGTTGAACACTGGAAATGTGGCTTGTTTGATGAGGAACTGGATTTTCAAGTTTTAAATAGTCACGTGTGGCTACTGGCTACTATACTGGACATAGTTGACTCAACATCTGTCTGGGGGTGTCTGCAGCTCAGCTGATTCAAAGTAAAAGCCAACATTTACAGCTTTTCCCAAACGAATGCTCCTCATCTCCCCTTGTTTCTTGATAAACCCTATTCAGCCAAACACCCAAGCCGAAAAAGTGGGTGCATGCATCCTTGGCTGTCCTTCTCTTACTCACATTCTCTCAGCTCCTGCTGGGTCTGGTCAGTAATCACGTTTTACTACATTTCCTACTTGGGTCCAAAACAGTAGCAATTTTATATGGTTCAACCTAATGTATTTTTAATGTATTTCTCTACTTTATTCTTTCTACTGCTATCTTATGGTCTTTCAACTGAAGTGTTGGAATAGCTTCTCTACTAATCTGCCCACCTCTTTCTTCACCTCCTCAAGTACATTTCACATGGATTGTTCCATCTAAATGCTTGTGAAGTACTGTCTCTTCTGCAGGTAGAGTGGCTCCTCACCCCTACAATAAAATTCCCAGTTTTTCAAGATAATCAATTCAAGCTTTGGAGGCATTACTCCTTCCCATTTCTTCTTTTTATTTTACTGCTGCTCTGACTTTTTTTAAAATATGTTTTCATTTATTCTTTCTAGAGAGAGAGGAGTGGAGAGAGAGAAACATGTATCAGCTGCCTCCTGCACACCCCCTTCTGTGGATCGAGCCCACAACCTGGGTATGTGCCCTGACTAGCAATCCAGTTGGTGACCTTTTCGCGCATGGGATGACACTTAGTCCACTGAGCCAAGCTGGCTGCGCACTGCTCTGACTTTTTTGACATTTATTTGTTGAACAGTCAAGATGTTCCAGGGAATTGACACGTGCTATAGTTACAGCTTAAACAAAACAGATAGGTTTTTTTCTTAATACTGTTCACAGTCTAGTGGGAAGACTGAAAAATGGCGGCAGAATAGGTAAAAGCAACACATTCCTCCTCCAAATGCAAAACCAGAGTTACAGCTAAAATTTAGAGCAATTAACCTGAATTAACAACAGAAGGTCACCTGAACTGGAATATTATATCCAAGGAGTGAAAAAAAAAAAAGCTACAGAGACTGGTAAGAAGGGAGGAGACGCAGAAAGGTCTGGTCCCGGCACACAGGGCAGCGGCTATGAAGCCGAAGAAATATTGTGGCTGCAAAAGCCCCCCCAGAGGAAAGTAGGCGTCTCAATTCTACACCAGAACCCCAACCCAGAACCCCAGGGCCTGAAAGAAGAACCTGCATAACATTTGTCAGCAAAAATAAGCAGGGACTTTGTCCACCTGGAAGAGGAGGGGGTCTGCTGGAGTCCTGGGCAATCTCCTTAAAGGCTAATGCACAGGGACTCACTCTCGGGCACTTACCCAGGGCTCTGGTAGAGGGAAGGAGACTTGGGGCGTACACATGACATAAGGAGAAGATATGGGGGAGCATAGCACTGGACATTGGGAAGGTAGGCTCTGAGGTCCCAGTTCTCAGCCAATGTCTCACATGACCCTCAGACGCCATATCCCAGGGTCCAGCACTTTTATTCTTACAGCACCAGCTGGAGAAAGTGCACTATCCCTGTTCTTCAAATACTGGCAGCTTCATCCTACCAAACTCAAATCAGGCATAAAGGACTTTTGGCTGTACCCAAAAGGGACTTGAGATGTGCTTTTTTTCCTAGAGAAACTAGAGAGTCTCAGATGAACACTGAACTGAGTGGCTTGGGAACAGGAGCCAATCTTCTCCTCTCCCCACAGAGTAGGCAGGCTCCATCCCCAACGGAAGATGCCCTGGTCAGTGCCCCAGGCAGTAGGCAGCTACGGAGCATTTGCAAGCCTCCCTTCAAAATCCCTGGAAGGGCGCCGCACCAAAGGAGAAAGCAAGCAGCTAACTACTCAGCTGAGGACCCACACCACCCCCAACAAAAGACTGCCTGGATTTACATGTCCCAGCTCTGCCAGCACTGCCTTCAAAGCCCAGTCCCACAGGGAGAAAGAAATACAAATCAGAACAGACATTTGGAGCCACCCCCATCTGAGGCCTCCATCAGAGCCTTTGGCAGTGAATTGCAGAGATAGAAGGGGGTAACAAGCTCTCACACCTCCCAAGAGCTGATACCACCCCAAGCAGAATGGCCAGACTTAATCTATTCCTTCAGGCCTCACCTGCACCACCCAGCAGGTGCAGCCACAAAGGGTAAAGGGGTTACAATTCAGAACTGGAAATCTGGTATGTGCCCCTTGGAGCCACCCTTCAGGAGCACTGGTGGCCACCCGGAGCTAGAAGGTAAGCACCAACCCCAACAAAGGGCAGCCTGGATTAGCATTCCCCAAATTGGCTGGCACCACCTCCAAAGCATAGTCCTACCGGGGAAGGACGTGCAAACCAGAACTGGGACATTTGGAGCGACCCCCTCAAAGGCCTGCATCAGGGCCTCTAGCATTGAGCTGCAGAGAGAAGGGGATGACAAGCTCTCACACCTTCTAGAAGGCAGCACCACACCAAGCAGAGGGGGGCAGCCTTGATCTATTTCTCCAAGCCCCATCTGCACCTTCTGGCAGGTGCAGCCTTGCAGAGGAAAGGAAGCAGAGCTCAAAACCGTGAAATCTGGTATGACTCCCTTCAGGAACTCTAGAGTGAAGATAGAAGGAGAGCAGCTACATCTCTCTTGGGGGCTGAGGACCCACACCACCACAATCAAAGAGCAGATTGGATTTGCATTTCCAGATCCTGCTAGCCCCACCACCCTGCTAAAGTCATATCTGCTCGGGATAGAGGGGTGTAAATTGGAGCTTGGACATTGGATGTGACTTCCTTGGAGCACTCCACCAGGACCTCTGGCAGTGCACTATAGAGATAGAAGGAGGTAAATGGCTCCCCTTCCTCGCTCCTCAATGGCCAGCACCATCCCAAGCAGAGGGAGCAGCCTTGTTCTCTTCCTCCAAGTCCTGCCAGTACATCCCTGCTGATACAGCCTCACAGGTGAAAGGTCACACAACTCAGAACAGGGGTATCTGGTGTGAGCCTCTCAAAGCTTCCCCTCAGGATCTCTAGTGGGGCACTGCTGAGCTAGAAGGCAAGCAACTAGCTCCCCTCTTGAGGGCCAAGGGCCCGTGTCACCCCAATCAAAGGGCAAATTGGGGATTTGTATTTCCAAATCCTGCTGGCTCCATCCTGTACCCATGAATAGGCCAACAAAAATTAGTTCCCAATTACAATAGGAGAGTCCTCATAACCCACCAAGGGACATTCCTAGAGCATTCAGCTCAGGAGATCAAGGAGACTTAAGCACTGTGTTCCACAGGACACTTACTACAGGTGGCCACCCCATGAAGACTTGGAGTCATACTAGTTCTATCTAACACAGAAATAAAGAGAAAGAGGCAACTAAAATGGGGCAACAAAGAAACAACCCCCAAATGAAAGAAAAGGGAAAAGATCTAGAAAAAGAACTAAATGAAATGGAAGCAAGCAGTTTATTAGTCAGAGTTTAAAATAATGATTATAAAGATACTCAAACAACTTAGAATTACAAGGACTTTAATGAAAACTACATCAACATGACAAAAGAGAGAAACTGAACAAGAGCCAGTCAGAAGTGAAGAATAGCAAATTTGATATCAAGAATACACTGGAAAGAATTAAAAGGCTGGATGAAGTGGAGAATAGAATCATGACTTGGAAGACAAGGTAGGGGAAAAAAAAACAAAAAACACCCCAAACAGAACAAAAAAAAAAAAGAATTTAAAAGAATGAGGATAGTTTAAGGGAAATTTGGGGCAACAAGAAACATAAAAACAGCCTCATCAGAGGGGTACCAGAAGGAGAAGAAAGCGAGCAAAGGCTAGAGAACCTGTTTGTCAGAATACAAAAAACTTCCCTAACCTGGTAAAAGAAAAAAGTACACAAGTTCAGGAAACACAGAGTCACAATCAGGATGAACCCAGAGACCCATGACAAGACACATCATAAACAAAATGGCCAAGACTAAAGACATAGAATCTTTGCCTTTGACTAAAGACAAAGGCTGTAAGAGGGAGACAGTTAGTTACCTGCAAGGGAGCCCCCTTTAGGCTGTCAGCAAATTTCTCAACAGAAACACTTTAGGACAGAAGAGATTGGCATGAAGTATTCAAAGTAATGAAAAGCAATAATCTGCAACCAAGACTGCTCTATACAGCAAGGCTATCATTTAAAATTGAAGGTGAAATAAAGAGCTCAGTCAAAAAAAGGCTAAAGGAGTTCAGTACCACCAAACCAGCATTGCAAGAAATGCTAAAGAGACTGCTTTAAGAACAAGAAGAAATACAGAGAAAAAGGAACATAGGCGTAAAGAAAAAAAAAAATCACATTAAATAAGGACATATCAATAATAACCTTAAATGTAAATGGATTAAATGCTCTAATCAAAAGATATAGCGTAGCTGAATGGATAAGAAAACACGACCTCTATACACTGTCTACAAGAGACCCACCTCAGAATAAAAGATTCAAATAGGCTGAAAGCGAAGGGATGGAAAAAAATATTCCATACAGCCTGGCTTGTGTGGCTCAGTGGTTGACCATCAACCCATGAACCAGGAGGTTACTAGTTCGATTCCCAGTTAGGGCACATGCCTGGGTTGGGTACAGGCTCAATCTCCAGTAGGGGGCTATGTAGGAGGCAACAAATTGATGTTTCTATCTCTCTCTCTCCCTCTCCCTTTCTCTCTGAAATCAATAAAAACATTTAAAAAATGTATTCCATGCAAATGGAAATGAAAAAAAAAAGCAAGGAGCCCTGGCCAGTTTTGCTCAGCAGTTAGAGTGTCAGCCTGCAGACCAGAGAGGCCCGGGTTCAGTTCCCACTAAGGGCATATACCTTGGTTGCAGTTTGTCCCCAGCCCCAGATAAAATAGACTTCAAAATGAAGGCCTTAACAAGAGGCAAAGGTCACTACACAATATTAAAAGAATTGATCCAACAAGAGGATATAACCTTGGTAGACATTCATGCACCCAATATAGGAGCACCAAAAAATATTTTAAAACTTCTGGAGGACTTTAAGGGAGAGATCAACAGCAATACAATCATAGTAAGATAGACCACATGTTAGGACACAAACTAAGTCAAACTTTCCTTTAATTAGATTGGTTAGTCCAGAAGTTGGCACATTTGTTCTGTAATGGGTCAGATAGTACATATTTTTCTTTGAGTGTTATAAGGTCTCTTATGGAACTACTAGGCTCTGCTGTTTCAGCACAAAAGCAACAATAGACAATACAGAATGACTGGGTGTGTGTGACTGTGTCCCAATAAAACTTAGTTTAAAAAGTGGCAAGCTGTATTTGGCCACAGATCATAATTTGCTGACCCCTAGCCTAGAGTATGTATATTGAGGTGTAGGATAAAAAATAGAAGGAAATTTATTATTTTTTCCCTAAAATATACTCAAGCAACAAAGGCTTTACTAATGTACTTATTGATTTTACATGTATGTAACTAAAAAATATATACAAATTAAGTTATACTTTTACTAATTAATTCCAAAGTATAAAATTAGATCCAAAATAAGCATACTTGTTTTCATTTGTTGTTTTAAGCTCTTTACAGTAAACATAAGAATTGTTTTCATATGTATTTTTCTGTGTCACCTAATTCTTAATCCTTAGAAATGTACTGTTGCAGGCCTCAGTGTCATTCAAGGATGTGACTGTGGAGTTCACCCAGGAGGAGTGGCAGCAGATGGGTCCTATTCAAAGGACCCTGTACAGAGATGTGATGCTGGAGACCTACAACAACCTAGTCTCAGTGGGTGAGCATATAAGCATAACTTTACTTTTGTAACACTATATAGAAGGCATTTCTTATTCATGCACTAGTACACATGGATACTTTCTTAGATTTTAATGTTATTTTGTCTTTTAATTTAGGGATATAAAGTAATTAAACCCTGTTAAGGAATTTGTGTGTTGTCAACTCCCAATGATAAATTCAAATGAGGACCTTCGGGTTGCTCTTCCCGAAGCTGTATCTTTTTCCACTTTTGAATACTAAAAACCGTATCATCTGGTCTAAGTACTCCATTGTTCCTTATTACAGGAAACTGCATTGTCAAACCAGAGGTTATCTTCAAGTTGGAGCAAGGAGAAGAGCCATGGTTCTCACAGAAAGAATTATCCAACGAGAACCACCAAGGTGGGTTACTGAGCACTAGCAGACAGAATTCTGTGGGTGGAGTTAGACTCCAGAAGGTTGGTTTAGCAGTGAACACTTATGTATTTTAAGACTTTTCTTAAAGGGTACAAAAAGCACCAATCAAAAGAAAATGATTAACAGACTTGACTAAATTAAAATTGAGAACTTTTTTCATAAAAGATACCATTAAAAGGATGAAAAAACAAGCCACAGAGGAGCAGAATATGTATTCAGTACAAGTAACATAAGAAGGATAAGCATCCTACAAATGTAAGAACTTCTGCAGGACCATTTAGGAAAGGGTAGCAGCCCAACTGAAAAACAGGCTAAAGACTTTTGAATAGGAACTTTGAAATGGTCATTAAATCTTTGAAAATGTGTTCAATCTTATTCGTTTTCACAGAGTGCAAGAAATATTTAAGGTGAGGTAAGAGAGACTTATATGCTGTAGGATTAACAAATCTGGTAATGCCACATCCTGATGAGGATGTGAAATATTAAATATCCCCATTCTCTGACTGAAATGTAAACTGGTAAAAACGCCTTGAAATTAGGAGGATGCTATCAAGCCAAGTTGAAGTTTTACACACCTTGTCACCAAGCATCCCCTTTCCCAACTGTATCCCCTCCAGTAAAGCATGACTGTATTCTCTAGAATGAGTAAAACAATATTTATGGCAGTATTGTTTTTGCCAAAAATTGGGCTCATCAGCAGTAGAATTAAAGAAACAGTTGTATTTCTAAGGGAGAATTATAAAGCTACATAAAGTATTATAAACATAATATTAAGTAAAAGAAACCAAAAAATATGACTATGTATATATGATTATAAATATGTGTCAGAAAAAAGCAAAACTCAGTTACATTTTTAGGAAGTCATATATTGATGCCAAAACAACAAAGGAAATTATTACATAAACATTTAGAGAGTGGTGAACTCATAAGCATGAAGAAACTGTAACCAGGGAGGGTCAAATAGGGATTTTTGCAGAGCAATTTGTGTTCTATTTTTTGACATGGTTTCTAATTCCATGAATGTTCACTATATACTGTCATATTGAACATGTAAGTTTGATGCAGATATAAATTATGTTTCATGCTTAATGGAGTTAAGAGATGAGCCAAAAATAGATGGTATTTACAAGTCAATAACCTATAAACAGCAGGCATCCAGAATACATAGAGAATTTGGACTTTTCTTAAGCATCATCTTTGCACTGAGACTTTCCATGATACCTCATTTAAGACTGCACTACTTATATAAAATTGAAATGTGGAAATTTAGGATGAGGTAGGTGATTAGGGTCACTTATCGTTCAATTTTGATAGGTAGAATGAATCTAATCTACCAGTGAATCGACTTTAGTTGCAAGAATGGATTTTTCTTTTATCAAGTTTTCATACACTTGTTTGTATTACCATATAGACTCACAGCTATAAGGTGTGTTAAACCCTTTCCCTGTTGGACCTAGCCCATCAAATCTTATTATCTTCTTATTTTTCTTATTACTCTATTTAACCTTATAGTCCTTACTGTATTCATCCCATTATCAGGTTTTCCTGCTCTCTAAAATAACCACTCCAATAAAAGTCTAATTTTGATTTTCTTTTTTCAAATCTTTATTGTTGGATGTAAAATGTATTACAGATGTTCCACATTTTTCCCCCATTGACCCACTCCCGCCCCCTTCCCACCTTTTCCCACACTATTGTCTGTGTTGATTTTCTTTTGATTTCCCTTTTTCATCCAGGTAGGAAAGTCTCATCTGTCAAAATTTAAATACAGATATGCATTTATTACCAGTTTTCTCTCTCATTTTTATTATTTCAATATTTTTTTTAAAATAGTGAATACACACACACACGTGTGCACGCATGCACGCAAATTATTTAATCTTGAGAAACCAAAAACTGAAATGTATATAAGCCCCACTCACAAAAAATATAAGAGTCATAAGATGTTTTCTATTTTTCTCAGTTTTAGAACATTACAGAGATGGTGACCTGATCAAGAACAAGAAAATCAAAGACCAACACTTGCAGCAAGTAACATGGATCAATAATAAACCTTTGACTAGTGAAGAAGAGGAATTTTGGGGAAAACCATTTAATCTGCACATAGCTCCTGTTTCTTCAATAAAAATGTCCTGTAAATATGACTCATGGGGAGTGAATTTGCAAAATATTTCTCAATTTATCATTAATAGAACCTATTCAACAAAAAAAACAGGTTGCAATAATGTCTATGAAAATTTGCCTTTCAAAATTAACTTTGAGAGAACTACTGGAGAGAAATTTTATGAAAATAATAAAAATGGGAAAGCCCTTGGTTATAAGGAAAATCTTCCTGAGCATCAAAAATGTCAAACTTTGGGTCAAGCTTTTGAATATAATGAAACTGAAAAGTTCTATGATGAGGCTGCCTGTGTTACTCACACAGGAAAAAAACCCTGTAAAGATGATGAATTTAGGAAAAACTGTGATAAGTTAAATCTCGTTGACCAAACAATAACTGGGACAGAAGAGAAACACACTCATCTTAAGAAGTGTGGGAAATCCTTCTGTGAGAAGACAGCTGTCAAAGACTACAATAAATTTAACATGGCTGTTAAATTCTATGAATGTAATGCCAGTGGGAATAATTTCAACAGGAAGCCACAACTCACTCAGCCTCAGAGTATTGCCACAGAAGAGAATGCATTGGGATGTAACGACAAAACACAAACTGGTGATAAATCCTTTGAATATCATGAAAGTAGAAAATCCTGCTGGATGTCAGCCCACAGAGTACGCCAGAGAACTCACTCTGAGGTAAAACCCTATAAATGTAATGAATGTGGGAAATCTTTCTGTCAAAAAGGACATCTCATTCAACATCAGAGAACTCATACAGGAGAGAAACCATTTGAATGTAATGAATGTGGAAAATCGTTCTCCCAGAAGTCCCATCTCAGTACACATCAGAGAATTCACACAGCAGAAAAACCCTATAAATGTAATGAATGTGGGAAAACATTTGTTCAGAAGTCAACCCTCAGGGGACATCAGAGAATTCATACAGGAGAGAAGCCTTATGAATGTAGTGAGTGTGGGAAAACTTTTGTTCAAAAGTCAACCCTCAGAGACCATCATAGAATCCACACAGGGGAGAAATCATTTCAGTGTAATGAATGTGGGAAAACTTTTGGCCAGAAATCAAACCTCAGAATACATCAGCGAACTCATGGTGGTGAGAAAAGTTATCAGTGTAATGAATGTGAAAAGTCCTTCTGGCGAAAAGACCATCTCATTCAACATCAGAAAACGCACACAGGAGAGAAACCATTTAAATGTAACGAATGTGGGAAAACTTTTGCACGGACATCAACCCTCAGAGTTCATCAGAGAATTCACACTGGGGAGAAACCATTTAAATGTAATGAATGTGGGAAAAAATTTGTTCGGAAGGCAATCCTTAGTGATCATCAGAGAATTCATACAGGGGAGAAACCCTTTCTATGTAATAAATGTGGGAAAACTTTTGGCCAGAAATCAAACCTCAGAATACATCAGAGAACTCACAGTGGGGAGAAACCTTACAAATGTAGTGAATATGGAAAGTTGTATAAGAAGTCAACTCTAAATGTATGCCACAGAATTCAGGCAGGGAGAAAACCCTTTTGATATAACTATGAAAAATCCTTCTGGCTAAAAGAACAACCCATTTGACATTAGAAAATTTACACAGGAAAAAACATATAAATATGAAAGTAAGAAGAATTTTGTCTAAAAGGTAACCTTGACATTATATCAGAGAAATCACACAGGCTTGTATTCTTCCAAGCTAAGGAATGAAGTCATGCCCTATTAGATAACTCGTACACATCATGCAGGCTGGTAATCTGTTCACTAGTAAGAATTTCACTTTTCCTCTTGGCATATAGCTAATCTAAATTTCCCAGTCTCCCTCTCATCTCCATGGGACTTTGTGACTGGCTAGTGGAATGTGGATGCTCATGTAGCATGCCACATCCGGTTCTGACAAAAGACTTCCCCTACAAACTATCAGGCTGCAGTATGGGTAAAATGGAGATGACTTCCAAGCCCATCTTGGTACCTTGGTTTAATATGGCAGAGGGCAAGGTAAAGGCCAGGGTGCCTGTAGTATGTGGAACCAAATTCTCTTCCACATCTTTTCATTTAAACATTTTGTGAGCAAGACTTAAGCTTGTATTGTGTTGAGCTCTTATACGTTTAGGTCTGTTTCTGCACATGATTTAGCCATCCCACTCCTAGAGAGGCAGAACACTACTGTGTAAGCAAGCTTACCTCAGCCAGTGGTTACAAACCTTGTTAAAGAGAGTTGATATGTCAAAGATTATCAGAGACTTTATACAAAACACATCCTTTCAATATAATGAAGTAGTCTATGGCCATACTACCTTGAACGCAACCGATCTCATCTGCTTGATATAATGAAGTAGATTATACCACCTGACATTGGGCTTTGGATGAATCAAAAAAGTTGGAAGATCTCCTTTTCATTATTATTGGATAAATACTGAGCAGCTATCATGCAGCTAAAGTGAACAGGGCTTGTTTAATGTCATGAGGTCACTCACCCTCCATACCTGGCACTTTCATACACCCTACCCAACCTCAGCTGCTTTAAGAGGAAAAAGGTTTTCCTATCCAAAAGGGACTCAAGGCCTTTGGCACACACCCAAATATTCTGGGGAACTTCAAGGGAGGGGAAGAACTCAAATTTTTATGGGCCTGTGGGATATATATAAGTCAACATCTTGCCAGTTCCCATGGAGGTAGGGGGATTTAGATAATGATGTTAGGACAGGGTTTATATTAGGGAGGGGAAATTATTGTAACCTTATCAATAAATGGGGCCATTTGCACCAGTGCAGTGTACTGTGGTTACTTCTACATCTGGAAGTATAGTGGAAATTAATGTTATATGTTGCACTGCCCATAAGTCACAGGAAGAATTCTCCCAGTCAGGAAGTAAAGAAGATACCTTTGAGGTCCCATAGTCCTTGCCCATTTGGGCTTCAAGTCTGACTGATTTTGTTGATTCAAACTTCTGGCAAAAGAGGGTCTCCTTGGGGGTGAGGGGAAGTGTGGTTTGACTTGACGCCCTGACAAGGCTACCAATTATACTCTTTGTAGGCAGCTATTAGCTCACTCTTGAGCTCTCACACTGGACACCTGATTTGTAGAGGCCTCTGACTTGATTTGGGGGTGTGTCATCTTAGATTTACTAAGAAGATGAAAAGGACTTAACACTTGTGTGGAAGGCACATGGTATATTCAAGAATACAGCTGTCCTAGTCCCAGAAGTATCGGTAGTACATGACATAGTAGCTCTCCCTTAGGAAATGTATCCCCACTCTGCTGCCTGGAGCACAGCAAGACCCTAAATTCATAGAGGTCACTTCACTCATGGTTTGACTAGCTGAAATCACTCAGCTCCTCTACCATTATACAGACCCAAAACTTGATGTGTTCTCAACTCTAGCCAATATTCCCTGTGATCAAACTTGATGTGTTTTTATTTACTCTTGGGCTCTTACTACGCCTATTCAACATGCCAGATGTAACACTACAGAATGATTTTTTTAATTTTTTAGATAAACCCTCTTGCCCAGCCAGTGTGGCTCAGTAGTTGAGCGTCGACCCATGTACCAAGAGGTCACTGGTTTGATTCCTGTTCAGGGCACACGCCCAGGTTGTGGGCCAATCCCCAGTGTGGGGCATGTAGGAGGAGGCAAATCAGTGTTCTCTCTCATCGATGTTTCCATCTCTCCCTCTCCCTCTCTAAACAATAAAGAAAAAAAAATTTTTTTAATAACAAACCCTTTTTGGTGCTGCCAACTGGGGAAAGACACAGCTGCTGAGCACAACATCTGGGTTGTTTAACTAGATGCTCATGTTCAGAAACTATTCACTGACAAAACTGACAGGGGATCACGTTGCTGATGAAGCCTTTCATCCCTCATTGCCAGCATTGCTACCTGGATCAATTGTCATACTGACATAGCACAACATCCACCATCATATACTGGATACAAAGTAAAGGTCTCTATATCCAATGCTTCACTTGCTATAACTCGATTTTACAATCTATAATGTCTTCTGGATTAATAGACAATGCTCAATATACTGTTTGATTAATTCACCCCTTTCCTATTGATTTTAAATATCTTCATATGCTAAACTGTCATTTGTAAGGATACTGCATGTGGCTGCTCATGACCCATTTCTTACATTCTGTTACATTACTAACAAATTATCTTGTGAACAGGGCTACCTTATATGAGCCCAAATATCCTATCTTTCTGGCCTGATACTGAATGTTTCACTAAAGGGTACTTGAGTCAAGTTTACAAGAGGAGAATAGCTCCTAGGATGTTGAAAATGGAATATCACAGACCTGTTACATTGTTACTCTAGAACTGCCAGCAGCCTTGCCAAGAAAATGCACCTGCAATAAGAGAAGATAATGTCTACTTAGTGCTATATTCCCAGAAAATCAAGAGATTATTATTTACTCTATTTTTATGATAGTTGGTGATATAAAGACTCATTCTTTCTTAGAGTATTTCCTTGGATTCTTAAGATATTTAAAATAATCTTCCTAATTCCCTCTTTTATATATAATCATTGAGGATTGTGATTGGATTTGATATTAAATACCGGCTCATCTACCCACCAAGATGGAAACAATTCATCCAACTGGTCTGAGTCATTCATTGGGAGCCAGGTAACAAAGTCTCATCTGGAGACCCTGGTCTATGCTGCAGTCGTGATGTTCTCTTCTCCCTGCCTGGTCGATCTTCTTTCCAGGTCATGGACATTTATTCCAACAGGTGGATACTGCATCTAGAGACTGGAAGTGTCCATTTTCTACATGCCTGCCTATTAAGGGTCTTCAAGCTGGTAACAAAAATTCTCCATGACAGCAAGGATTTTTATTTGTTTTGTTCATAATGTACCCCAAGTGTATGAAACAGTCCCTCTACATACTGGGCACTCAGAAATATTTTTTAAAGCTAGAATTATGAAAATGAAATCTAAATACTTTCTTTTCCTTTTGAGGCTGCAAATTCTCTTTTGAGATTATTCATCATTTATTATAGTTAAGGAAAATTATTGCTGTAAGCTCCCACTCAAAGACTTGTGTCTTGGATATTTTCTAAAATTGCTAAAAGAAACAACTTGTTCTTAATATTCATATGTGTACTGTCCTTCAGATCTTTGTCAGACCATTATTTTCAATAAACTGGCATTCCCGATTCAAAATTATGTCTACATATCCATCCATTGTTTTTTATCTGGTTTGTTTTATTTATTTTTTTCTTTATTGATTTTAGAGAGAGGGGAAAGGAGAGGGAGAGAGAGATAGAAACATCAATGAGGGAGAACATTGATTGGCTGTCTCTTGCATGCCCCTCACCAGTGCCTTGGCCCACAACCTGAGCATGTGCCTTGACCAGGAATCGAACCGGCAACCTCTTGGTGCATGGGTCAACACTCAACCACTGAGCCATACCTGCAGGCTCTATCCATTTTTTATTAGCATTGTAGAGTTCAGGCTTTCTTTGTAAGCATCAAGCAATTTTGCAAAACAACAGTAATGGTAAATCAGATTTTCAGTGTCAACCACATGGGAAGACAAAAGAATTGGTTCTCAGGATCATCCATTTCATCCACTGTACCAGTAGTTACACTAATTTTTACTTCCAAATTATCATCCTAGCAACTCCAATTCTTGTTCAGGTTCAAGAATCTATCTCCTGGCTGAGAGGTCCAACCCCAAAATGAGGGGCATAGCACTTGTTCTGACCTGCCTCCTTGTTTGGCTCTCCTTGCCAGGTACATAACACCTTTTCTCTCATGCTATAGGTCTCCCTGGAAGCTCAGCAGAAATAATGTATTCTGTCCTATACTAGGAAAACTTCACACTATGATGAGGGAGAAAAAAATTAGTTTTCTTGTTGGAGACTGTACAGTTTCCAAATATCATGAGACTGCCTAGCCAACTGGCTGTTTTAGTGATCGTCTAGTGTTCTGCATATCAGACTGCCCAACTTACAGAACAATATAATTAGCTTAACTATCATCTGACAGATTCTTGATACATAATTAAAAAACAAGAAACTACCTGGCCAGATGTTGTGGCAATTCTACTATACATATACCCAAAAGGTTTGGAAAAAGTCAGAAACTTGCACGTGAAGGTCATAGCAGCACTATTCACAATATCCAGAAGATGCAAACAATCCAAATGTCCATCAGCAGGTGACTGAATAGACAAAATATGGTGTATTTGTAAAATAAAATGTTATTCAGCTAAAAAAAGAAGTACTGTTACATACTACAAAACAGATGAACCTCAAAACATGCTAAACTAAAAGAAGCCAAACAGTAAAAGTAAACTTCACAGCAAAGAATATTTCCAAGGTAGAAAGTGACATTACATGATAAAAAGTTCTATCTATCAAAAATACAACAATCCTATGTGCATAAAACAACAAGATATTACCACTCATGAAACCAAAACTGAGAACTAAAAGGAGAAATAGACAAATCTATTATAGTTGTCAAATTCAATATCCCTCTCTCAGCAAATAGCAGAACCACTAAATGGGAAATCAGCAAGGATATAAAAA